TGTTTCTCGATCAATGGCTTTGCAGTAACATTCTTACTTTAATTTTATTTATGTTAACGGGTGATTTAATTTTGTTCACCATCTAATTTTGTTCACCATAATTAAATATTTTATTTTCTATAGATTTATCATAGATTAAATCACAAACCCGCATATATACGGGTCCTTCATCTAGTAATTTATAAGTTTCCACTTTAATTTTTGTAGACCGGTAATAGACATTTGTGTGCATATAATTGCATTTGTAGGTAATTTCTTTGATACATGCATTGTATAACATAATTTTGGAGCTAACTTGCAAAGATATCAACATGCCTATCTAATCTACGTACCTTGTTGAGAAGAAGAAAACAAGGTAAAGGTTTCCTTTTTTTGAAGAAATTGAAGCATTTCCCATACTAAATTGAAGAAATTGGATTTGAGAATTATGATCATTCAGATAATAAACAAAACACAGAAAGTCTACACATTGTGACGTTGATAGATCCGGTAGATAGAATAATACAAACCCAGCAAGTCATAAGGATAATAAACCTGAACTTAGAAACAACCAAAAGAGAGAGAGAGAGACATTTGCATTTTTCATTCCATACACCAAAAAGATATTCATGGGACTACTACTCGAGCCAAGGAAGCAGCAAGATCCCGCAAAAATTTAGCCTTTCGACGCGCAAGTCTCATTTCTTCGACCAGCAAATCTCTAAACCCCTCTTCCATTCTCTTCCTCGTCTCCGTAGGAAGCATTCTCCATCTCTCTTTCGCTGCATCTTCACTCACAAAACCGCAAAAATTTAGCCTTTTTAAGGGCCCAGCTTTTGTTTGAATCCGGCCCATATTTTTGTATAGTCATCCATCTTTCTTCTCTCTCTCACGAAGGTTTCATGAATTGTGAGAGTGAGAGCTAAGCACACTCTTCATTTTAGGACTAATCCAAATTTACAGAGAAATCGAGAAGAAATCCAATCACCTGAAGCGGAATCGAGAAGATGATGTATGCGATTGCGGCTAAGAGATTTGCTCTTTGGAGTCATCTGGTGAAAGGTAACCTTGGAATTGCTTCTCCCTTGTTTTCCATTTGTGGTTGCTGGGTACGAGCTTTTTCTGGTGCTAGTTATGGTTACAGAGAGAAGATTAGAGATGGGTTTCTTCATGATATCAAGTTAGATGATGCGATT